TTATATAGCGCACCTTACATAGGGTAGTGTCCCAGACTGCTTGGCAACTGCGTTTCTACTTATTGCTAACAGAGGTGTGTGGAGTAAGGACATTTTCCTATGGTTTCGCCCCACATGGGGATCGAACTTGGGTCATCTCGCTTACGAAGCGAGTGCTCTAACCACGATGCTACAAGACTCCAGAACTAGATAAAAGGAGCCAGCTATAAGGGTATGTGGGAAATAGTTGCAAAATGGGACTGAAAGGATTGCTCTAAAAGGAGCCTACACAGACACAATGGCCTGCATAGACTTTGTCTGGGTTGTAAATTTCTGATTCTAGGTCAAAGCTAGGTGGAATTTCATGCCCTGAGGAGCGTGATTAGATTGTGATGTTCATATGGTGAAGAAAAACAGTGCAGACTTGATGGGACAAAAGGCCTGTTTCTGTGCTGTAAAATTGTACAATCCCTTGACATATTCTGTCACGTACCCAGAGAACATTTTTTCTCATAGTCTCTTCTTTGACCTATAGATATTTGACTTTCGATTGAAGACAAATTGGAATTTATTTTACTTTAATCAACAGAATTGTTTGACAAACACAGAGATCTCCATATCAGCGGATCCTTTGAAAAATTAGACTACTACAAGGGATTATTTATAATTGTTCCTTTTTTTTGGTCACTGGGAGCTCTGTCTGTTTATGTTTTAAATAGTTATTGTCTGTAGTAAATGCCAGCAATCATCGCTTGAGAACTGGCTACTGAGCCCCAAGCATGAGGCATTTGATTGATAATAACAATTTGATTTGATATTGCATATTCCTTGCATTTGATATAACTCCTTATCACATCTTCAGGATGTCTCAAAGCGCTTCACAAAATATACTGTAAAGTGAATTGATTATATATTTGTGGGTGAAACCCGGCAGCCAATTGCCCACAGCAATGTCCCACAAAGAGTCGTAGATTGAGTGACCAAATTATTACTTTTTAAAAAAATTTGGATCTTTTGCATCCTCTCTATGCCTGGATAGTCTTTCTACAGTGAGTTCCCAAAACTAATAAAAATAACAATCATTATCATCCTCGCATTTAATGTAGCACCTTATCACATTATCACATTGTACAAACATCTCAAAGTTCTTCACAAGATTTAATGTAAGGTATAGTGACTGTGCTTTTTGTGGGCAAAACACGGCCACCAATTTGCGCACAATGTCCTACAAACAGCCATGACTTGAATGATCAATTCTGGGGGATTGTTAGCCAGGATACCAGGGAGAAAAACTCCCTTCTCTTTTTGAATAGTGCCGCGGGATCTTTAACGTCAGCCTAGATTGTGAGCACAAAATTCTTATGTGGAACTTGTAAGTATAACCTTCTGACTCAGGAAGAGTATAAGCAAGTGAGCCAGGCTGACACCTGGGCTGATTAAGCATCGTACCTTTTACAACCATTGATCTCTGGCACTTGTTAAAGTGTTTTGTGGGTTTGGGAAATGGTTATAGAGCAATGAGCACCAATGTTGCAAAGAATGAGCAAGAAAAAATGTACTGTGTTGTCGGTGCCGTCCTTATGATGAGACGTTCAAATGAGGTCCTGTCTGGCCATTAAAGATCACATAACAAAGATTTACAAAGAGTATACAGCACGCAACCAGTCCGTGACAGTGTTTATACTCCACATGAGTCTCCCTTCGCTCGTTACTCCCTCCCATACCCTTCTGTTCCCTCTCCCTCATGTGAAGGTCTAGTTTCGGTTTCCCCCAGCCTTTCAGGCAATGCTTTCCAGATCCCAACAACTCGCTGCGTGAAAACATTTCTCCTCACCTCCCCTCTGTTTTATTTAACAAGTATTTTAACTTGGTGTCCTCGGGTTACTGACCCTCCCGCCAGTGGGAATAGTTTCTCCTTGTTCACCCTATTGAATCCCCTCATCATTTTGAAAACTTCTATTAAGTCTCCTTTTAATCTTCTCTGCTCCAAGGAGAATAATCCGAGCTTCTCTAACCTCTCCTGATAACTGAAGCCCCTCATTCCTGGTACCATTCTGGTCAATCTCCTTTGCTCCCTCTCCAATGTCTTGACATCCTTCCTAAAGTGTGGGGCCCAGAACTGAACACAGTCTCTCGCTGAGGCCTAACCAGTGTTTTATATAAAGGTTCATCAGAACTTCCTGACTGTTGTACTCTATGCCCCTATTTATAAAGCCTCGTATCCCGTAGGCTTTTTTAACAGCTTTATCTGCCTGTCCGGCCACCTTCAAAGATTTACTATATGACCCCCAGGTCTCTCTGTCCCTTCACCCTTTAAGATTGTCCCATCAGCTTATATTGCCTCTCCTCATTCTTCCTCATTCTTCCTCTTCCGTATTTCTCTGCCACATGCCTGCCCACTTTACCAGTCTGTTTATGTCCATTTGCCGTCTGATACTATCCTCCTCACTATTTATTACTTTTCCTAGCTTAGTAACATAGTATTGCTGGGGTTACTTTAATAATAATAAGCATTGCATTTGATATAAAGTGGTTCACTTGTCTCAAAGCGCTTCACGAAGCGAAGAACATAAAGACTGACTGCAAGAGCTTTTATAAATATATATATAAAGAGGAAGAGGGGAACCAAGAAGAAAATGATAGTGAGCAACTTGGGGTGATTAATATTAGTAAAGAAATGGTTTTAGGTAAATTATCAGGTCTTAAAAGTGATAAATCTCTTGGACCTGATGGCCTACATCCTAGGGTTTTAAAAGAGGTGGCTACTGAGGTAGTGGATGGCTTGTCTTTGATCTTCCAAAATTCTCTGGATTCTGGAACGGTTCCCATTGATTGGAAGATTGCAAACGTAACACCACTATTTAAGAAGGGTGGGAGAGAGAAGATGGGGAACTATAGACCAGGTAGTCTGACATCAGTGGGACTGAAAATTCTTGAGTCCTTAATTAAGGATGTCGTTATGGGATTCCTGGAAGACCATAACACGATTAGGCAGTCAACATGGCTTTACAAAAGGGAAGTCATGCTTCACTAATCTTTTAGAGTTTTTTGAAGATGTATCTAGCAGGTTAGATAGGGGGGAACCAGTAGATGTAGTATATTTAGATTTTAAAAAGACATTTGACAAAGTGCCACACAAAAGGCTATTGCACAACGTTAAGACCCAGGGGAGCATGGATTAGCATGGATTGAAGAGTGGATAACGGGTAGAAAACAGAGAGTCATAAACGGATCATTCTCAAATTGGCAGGATGTGACGAGTGGAGTGCCACAAGGATCAGAGCTTGGGCCTCAGCTATTTACAATTTACATCAATGATCCAGACGAGGACATTGAATGTAACGTATCTAAATTTGCGGATGACACTAAACTCGGTGGGACAGTAAGCTCTGAGGATGATGCAGAAAGATTGCAACGGGATATAGATAGGCTCGGGGAGTGGGCGAGTAGGTGGCAGATGGAATTTAATGTGGGGAAGTGTGAAGTTATTCACCTAGGTAGAAAAAATCGAAAAACAGATTATTTTCTAGAGGGGGAGAGATTAGATAGTGTTAGTGTTCTGAGAGATTTGGGTGTCCTTGTACACCAGCCTCAAAAAGTTAGTTTGCAGGTGCAGCAGCAACTAAGAGGGCGAACGGCATGTTAGCGTTCATTGCAAAAGGTTTAGAGTACAAGAGTAGGGAAGTCTCGCTGCAGCTGTGTAGGGCTTTGGTGAGAACGCAGTTTTGATCTCCTTATTTAAAAAAGGACATACTTGTCCTCGAGGGGGTGCAGCGTAGATTCACTCGGTTAGTTCCTGGGATGAGGGGACTGACCTATGAGGATAGGCTGAATAAACTAGGGCTGTATTCTCTAGAGTACAGAAGAATTAGGGGAGATCTTATTGAAACATATAAGATTCTTAAAGGGCTGATAAAGTAGTCGCTGAGGGTCTGTTTCCCCTAAAAGGAGAATCTATAACCAGGGGTCACAGTGTTAAGATTAAGGGTCAGCCTTTTAGAACAGAGTTGAGGAAACATTTCTTCACTCAGAGGGCAGTGAATTTATGGAATTCACTCCCCCAGAAGGCTGTAGGTGCTCAGTCCTTGAACATCTTCAAGGCTGAGACTGATAGATTTTTTNAAAAATAGAGGGATTAGGGCATATGGGGATAGGGCAGGTAATTAGAGTTAGGTCTGAAGATCAGCCATGATCTTATCGAATGGCGGGACAGCTCGAGGGGCGAATGGCCGACTCCTGCTCCTAATTCTTATGTTCTTAGGTTCTTATGTAGAATATACTGTAAATTGTAAAGACCATATTTTGTGGGCGAAATGCGACAGCCAATTGCACCCATTTGGCTTGGAGGGTTGACAGGAGCTGTGACAAAGGATTTCTTGCCCCCAGTGACTGGTCTGCCCCTTCAAGGCCTGGTGCGGTTATTGGGTCAGTCCTACCCAAAGCTCTTATTGGAAGTTGCCCTGTAGCTCATTTAATCAACTGCAGCTCCTTGCAGAGAGCTTTGCTATAACCACTGGATGTGGTTCAGTAGATTGGCAGCACTAATGGTGTTGATTTAAGAGGCGATAAGTGAGCGTTGCAAATCAGTCCAGGGCGTGTGCTAAAATCACCCCAGGCAGATAACTGCCCCTCTTTCAGAAACAACCCCCAAAAAAGCCACTTCCGAATATCTTATCAGATGCTATGCTAAATGCAAAATTAAAAAAATGAAAAATAATAGTTTGGTCACACTGTTTGTGGCACTGCTGTGCACAATTGGCTGCTGCATTTTGCCCACAAAAAAACAGTCAATTCATAGATTATACAGCACAGCAGGAGACCATTCAGCCTATCGTGTCTGTGCTGTCACTTCACTTCTGTGAAGAGCTTTGAGAAGTCTCAAAGACATGATAAAGCCCTGTATCAAATGCAACAATTATTATTATAATATAATTTTCTCTTCCCTTCGCCTACACTAAATTGTGGTTCCCCCACTGTTGGTGTGAAAACAGTTTGCAAATGGAAGAGAAAAAGAAAGGTGATTAAGATTCCAGCAAATCTTGGAGAAGGAATGTGTAAGGGAATTTCACATATGTTAAGTTTTGCAAGATCTCAATATTCATGTAGATATAATTTTATATACAGTATATGTTTGTACAGGCATAAATGCATACAGACAAACTCACACAAGCATAAATACACACACACACAGACACAGACAAACACACACACGCATAAATACACACAGTTTGTGAGAAGGGGTGGGGGGTGTTTAAAAAAAATGACATAGGTTTACCATTCGAGCAATGAGATCCCAAAAGACTCGCCAATATTTAGGTTTATGTCACATCCAGCGGATGTATAAGGTTTAGATTGATTTGGGCAAACTAAAATTTGTTGTTAAAGACAAGAATTCTCTCTCTATATATATAGAGAGAAATATATATATAGACATATATATATTGTATATATATATAAATAAATGACACCCAAGTCTCCCCCAGGATAAATGCTCAGCGGGAATCGGCCTTTGAATAAAGACTGGTTTGTTCCATAATGAAACAAATGTGTCCTGGAGATGTGAGACTGATAAGTATGAGAGGGTTTCGGATCTGCCGATGACTCCACTAACACACACCAACAGGAACAGCCCTGCGTTACACTGCCATTGTTCCATTGCCATCGGGATACAGACAAGTCCATGTATGTGGCTGTGGTTCAAAGTGTAAGTAAGCGTTCACACTGAAATCATTTCTATTCGCTTTCTATTCGCTCTCGGCCCGGTCTCTATCTTGCGCTCAGACACACAGCGACACAGAGACACACAGACACACAGACAGACAGACGCACACAGACACACACACACACACACGGATACAGATACACACAGAGAGACAGATACACACAAACACACACACAGAGACAGATACACAGACAGACACACACACAGACAGACACACAGAGACACACAGAGAGACACTGAGACAGACAAACATACACAGGGATAAGCCCACACACACACACACACACACAGACACACAAACCATTTGACACTGAAATCCGACTCCAGATTTTCAAATGATTTTCGTTGAATTCGTAATTCCTCTCCCGATTCCGAGTGTTTTTTTTTAAAAAAAACAAAAACCTGTTAAAATCCCCTCATTGTAATTCTATTATGTTTTGTTTTACAAACCGACTGTTACAATGTCTGTGCGTCTCAGAGACGCCACCCGGCGGGGAGGCCGCGGTGTGAGTGCAAGTTGTTGTAGTTGTTGTTGTGACTAAGTTGGGGATGTTTGCAGTGAATGGGGACAGAAGGGCGGCCTGTCTGTGTGTCTGTGTCTGTGTCTGTGTGTCTGTGTGTGTGTCTGTATGTGCTCTGTGTGTGTCTCTGTGTGTGTGTGTGAGTGCCTGTATGTGTGTCTGTGTGTGTGTCTCTCTGTGTGTGTGAGTGTCTGTATGTGTGTCTCTGTGTGTGTCTCTGTGTGTGTGTACTCTCTGTGGGACATCAGTCTCTACTTCAGACAGATTTGTAAGTGCAATCTTGCCGTTTCCCTGGTTCCTTTCCTCTCCTTCCCAGAGCATCTCTCCTCTCTCTCTCCCTCCCCCCTCTCTCTCCCTCCCCCCCTCCCCATGTCCTTCCTACCTGTTACTGTGATGTTGCTGTAGGAGTTGGATAACTGCTCTTTCAGGAGAGAGACTTGCATCTGAGACGCTTTTTCTCGCTGCAGTTCAAGCATTATATCCGGATGTTGGGCGATTTTGCAACCTTTCTGCTTGTCCAGGGCAATGGCGCTCCTCACAATATCTGTGTGCGGATTGCCATAAAATCAGATTGAGCTATTTTATATACAGCAAATATAAACATAATACAGTCCTTGCTCGAGTGGAGGGGAGGTGGGGACGAGTACAGAGGAAGGATAGACACATAGATAAGAGTGTATGAACATGCAAGGGGTTTTAAAATAGCATCCCCCCCCCCCCCCCACCACAACACATTACAAGTATCAATGTCTGGGTTGCGATTTTTCTAAACTTTGCACTTAATTGCGAGGCTAACGAACAACAAAAAGGTTGAATAATGCAGAATCTCACGTCCGACCTTTATGTGGATGATTTCCAGATCCCTCTCACACCCACATACACACTCACACAGACTCAACATCTAATCAATTATGTGGGCGCTCAACAGGGCACGTGTGTGTCTGTGTGTGTGAGTGTCGGTTAGTTTGACACATACACTAAATTATTATTAAATGTATGTATTTCAACGATTTACATATGGGCGAGTTTCACATTTAAACAATTATTTGTTAGTGTCACACTTAGGGTTAGGGATATCTGTAAATATCTATTGGTTTCACATTAGATACATTTGTGTGTTGATATATTGAGTGTGTAAACACGTGTCAGTTTCACACTAATATAATGATTAGTTAGTTCCACACAATCTATATGTAAGTATGGGTTAGAGTCACACTATATATAATTGTTACTCACATAAATGTAAGGGTGTTAGTTTCACACCACTGTGTATACAATTAAGTGTCAGTTTTGCACACATTGTACATACGTAAACATGTTTCAGTTTCATACCTAATATAATTATTTATTATTTTTTTCCCCGCAATGTATAACAAATATATTGTGAAGACGCGATAAGGAACTATATCAATTGGAAGTATTATTATTAATATTATGATTATATCAGTTTCACGCTAAATATTATTAGTTTCACACATTGTTTATATGTAAAAAGTGTTGGTTTCACGCACTTTCTATGAATACAACGCTCAGATATTGACAGCCACATATAAATGGTAATTATGTATACAGTTTAGATTATGCGGTATATAGAGCTAACTTTACTTGTATGTCTGAATGAGTTAAATATCTATCTATCTATATAATCATAGATACATAGATAGAAAAGGATTGAAGCCATTCGGACGGTGTGGACATGTTTGATAGAGATACAATCGGGTGGAGACATAGCAGAATTGAGGGTATAATATGCACATCGTTCCCACTATTCTGTGTGTAAGTTACACGGTGTAAACCACCCGCGGGGGGTAACTAAAGCCTTGTGCAGAGGGGGGGGGGGGGGGGGGGGGCGCGGGGCTCAGACTGACACAGGCGCCTCATGTACCATCTTCGTAGTTTTTGAGGTAATAGTCCGGTCCGGGTCGGCCCCGTTTTTTCTGGGAATGTCGATGGTTCTGGAATTGGAGGAAATCTGTCCTTTTTCCACCGAAACGCAGGAAAGCCGGAGAAAGCCCTCTGGCGAGGGTTACAAGCCGCTTGGAGCTGAAATGGGGGAAGGAAGGAAACACATGCACACACATGTACACACACACACAGACACACATACATACACACCACATACACACCGACACACACATGCACATAGACACACACACACACACATACATACATACATACATACAGACACACACACACACACATACACACACACAGACACACACATACATACACACAGACACGCACATACATACACACAGACACACACATACATACACAGACACGCACATACATACACACAGACACACACAGACATATACACGCACAGACATACACACACAGACACATACATACACCCACAGACACATACATACACAGACACATACATATACACAAACACAAACACATACACACACAGAGTAAACTGAAACTGATTTAAATAATGTTTAGCAGTTTGTTTAAAACCCGCCTCACTGCCAGGAGAGAAAATACAATAATGATAATAATAAGAATAATAATGAATCTGACAAAATGTAAAATATTTCTATATTTCATATGAGAGGGGAATTTTTTTATCAATTAAAAATAATTCAATTAACTCTCCCCACACAAAAAACAAAACAAATTGAACACATTTTTGGTGCGTTTGTTGATTTCTATATATTTAATACAATACAAAATTACATCTGTACGTCAATATAATATATAATACAACATATATATATAAAAACCCGGACGATAGAGTGGCAACTTGCGATTTATTTTTTAAAGTGTCGTTAGTAAAGTGGGAGAGAGAAAAAATAGCATTGCGGACCGATATTCCGCAATTTAAACAGCCTTCGCTTTTCAGAGAGGGACTAAGTGATTTATGGGATGTAACGGAGAGAGAGAGAGGGTGAAAAAGACACGAGTGACTGAGTATCTTAATTAAACCGCGGTCCCAGCCCTGAACTTTTCTGATGGTCAAAGGTAATAGAGCACAACAAGTCGAGGTGCGATTCAAATAGGGGGGAAATACTCAATCGACCACAGAGGGAGAGAAAAGGAGAGAGAGAGAGAGAGAGTAGGAGACGGAGTGGGGGACGACGACTCGATATTAACTCGGAAAGTCGCTAAAAAAAAATAAGCCGGACTTGTATAAAGAATTCTAGCGACACTTTGGAGCATTTTAAGAACTGCCTTTGTTCATTTCATTACATATATATATCTTTAACAGTTTACACACGTCTCAAGTGCTTGGAACTCGCAAAAGTATTTGATCGCTAGAAATTTTAACACTGTTGTTTCGGACTCCATATGTTTACACAATCGCCCCCACCCCCACCCAAAAAATACGAAGGGAGGATATGTTTACAGTCTTAAATATACCATTACAGGTTTTACAGCCATCGCTTGAGTTTGGGGGACAATGCTTTTAAGCAACAAAAAAGAAAGAAACTATTGCAATCTGAAAACAGATTGAGACAAAGTTGAGACAAAGTTTTGGAATAAAATTAACTTGTCTCATAAACTTTTTTTATAATTATAATTTTTATAAACACTCTCCTTCAGACAGTCTTATATTTCCAAGGTATAATTTTTCCTTTAACAAAATATAACCCCTCTGAAACTCTCGACAAACTGGTTTTGCGAGATTATTATTAATAATAATATTATTTAATGACGATTATTTATAATAACGTATTATTGAATTGTGCTGCCGTTTACGTTTGCGAAAGTGTTGGATTATGAAGACCAAACGAATTGAGGGGAAAAAATCATAAATAGAGGAAGATTTGGGGGGGAGAGAGGAGGGGGTCCCTTTATAATGGTAAAAGCCGTGTATTTTCCAGCGAATAACCACAAAATAGCATTTGTTTTCGTTAACAAAAAAAAGAAAAAGAATCAAAACCCCATTGCCATATATAAATAATATATATATGTGTGTGTGTGTGTGTAAAGCTTTAACGCGTCTCCTTATAAAGTCTTTACAAAGAAGGAATTGAGGGTCAAATCTCATTTCAGAGTCGATTTCGCTTTGAAATCGACAAAGAGAGAAAGAGAAACACACACTTCAACTTCACCGTCAAACGTTATTCACACATCAACACACAGACACTTACTCTAATCCGAAAGTATTAAGATGTTGAGGGGGTGGGGGAGGGGGAGGGGGGGTATGTTTTCTCTCTCACCTTAGGAAATCGATCCAGCCATCGTGTATGACCGCAGGGTCCAGTTGGATGGACAGAAAGTTCTCGTTGACCGTCTTGAAGGAGTGTTTGGTGTTGACATCCAGGAGGATGAGGGTCCTTGGCTCCTTGACTTGGCTCCTTCCCTGACTGGAGCCCACAGACCCGGACTGGCGACCCCCGGCGTGAGAAGCAGCAGCCGACAGGGACATGGCCAGCAAATAGGCGGCTGAGATCCTGAGGACCAGACTGGTGCGGGCGGTGAGACTGAAGGCAATCAGCAACATCCCGGGGCAGTGATGGCCTGGACACTGCAGGAGAGGGGAGGGGAGGGGATTAATCCACGGCTCACACTGCAGCTTGAGAGTCCAGTCAGTTTATTTCTCTCTCTCTCCCTCTCTCTCTGTGTGTGTGTGTGTGTGGTTTACAATGTTTTGATGCTGTGTTTGCAAATTCCCATTCACGCCCCTTTTTTATATTCCAGCCTTTCCAGTAACCCACGCCAGGGGCAAGGGTTCCCACACGCCTCCCTCCCCCCTCCCTCCCTCTCTCCCTTTCTCTCTTAAGATAAACCTCTGCCCTCAGACGCCGCTTCTATTTTAGTCTGAAATCACCTCGAGGGAATGGCACTTTTTGTCGGCAAAACCGAGATTGCTATTTAAAGGCAACGTGCCCACCTCCAGATGAGACTGTCACCGCAATCCGCCTGACTCGCCACTTTACCCTTAACCAGAGCATTGATATTCTTCTGCTAATTAACCAGAACAACTAAACTGTGCAATAACTACACATCCAAACCCCACGCTAATGTGTACATGTTCCACTTGTACACAGAAATAATATATAATAATATATAATGACAATATAACAACCCTTGCATTTGATATAACGCCTTATCACAACTTTGAGAGGTCTCAAAGCACTTCACAGAACATACTGTAAAGTAAATTTTGTTGGGCAAAATGAGGCAGCCAATTGCACACAGCAGCGTCCCACAAACAGCCTTAGATTGAGTGACCCAATTTATTATTTTTTTTTGAAGGAATTATTACCCCCGAAAGCAATCTACCAATCAACTAATAACCAGGTTCCTACTTACTGCTAGGAAAACAGAGGCGTGTGGAGTAAGGAAACTTGCCCAACTCACCCTGCTGGGAATCCACGCTTGCAAGGCGAGTGCTCTAACCACCGAGCTACAGGACTCCACTGTGAAGCGAATTGACTGTATTTTATAAACAAAATGCGGAAGCCAATTGCGTACAGCGGTGTCCCACAAACAGTTGTGGATTAAGTGATCAAATTATTATTTTATTTTAATTTTTTTTACACTCTGCCCATTCGTTCAAGCAATTGGAAAGACCAAAAGACTGGAAATTTTTGTCTTAAAATTTAAGCATTTAATTCGGTTAAATTTCATTTTGGAAGTCATTTTTTCCTGTTCTTAAAAATAACCCAGCTTCCAATCTTGAAAAATTTTCCATTTTCTGTGCCACCTTAAATTTTGAAGCAAGAAAAATAATCGTTGTATTTGATAGAAATGTCTCAAAGAGCTTCACAGTATTGAAGAGAGTGTGCATTTTTTAGGCAAATGTAACAGCTACTTTGCACACAGTAATGTTCCTTGAAGGGAATAAGTGCCTCGGGCTATCCTCCTGAAGATGAACGGCACTCAATAAATGTAAATTTGTATTGCATTGCGTGACTAATTTTCCCTAGGGGGATTGTTGGTCAGGTTATCAGGACACGGTTTTAGAATAATGTCATGGGATTGTTAATGTCGACTTGAATAGGCAAGAATGCTTTTCAGACCACTGTTAAACACTCCAAGACACTGCCCTGTGTAAAGGGCGCTCTACAAATGCAAGTTGTTGTTGTGGTTGAATGGTGAAAGGAGAAGAAATGACAGCTTTTAAAAGGGAATAAGACAATATAATCCTTACATCTAGAGGAAAGAGCTTCACAGGATTTATTGTAAAATATGGTGACTGTGTATTTTGTAGGGGCAAATGTGGCAGACAATTTGTGCACAAATAGGCATTAAATGAATGCCCAATTTCTTTTGAGGTGGGGGGGGTGGGATGGGGCAATGTTGGCCAGGACACCGGGATAAAACTCCCTTCTCTTTCTTTTGAAAAGTGAAGTGGGATCTTTAATGTCCAGCTGGCAGACAGGAAGTCGGTTTAACATCTCATCTAAAGCGCAACCTTCAAACAATGCAGTGATCCCCCAGGCTGATTGCCCTCTTTCTCCAATGTGAAATTCTAGTTTAACAACAACAACAACATGCACTTATATAGCGCCTTCCACGCAGGGTAGCATCTCAGAGCGCTTAACAATGGTGGAGCCTGACTCCGAGCTGGGGTGGGGTGAGTGGGGAAGGTGGCCGTAAGCACGGTAGAAGAGGAAGGTTTCAGGTGGGTCTTGAAAAAGGGGGCGAGGCAGAGGGATTGAAGGAGGGAGTTTCAGTGCATAGTGTTGTTTTTAAATAGAAATTGGCTATTTAATTGAATCCCTGCATGAACAAACAACCAAGGCAGCTTTAATAATAATGCTTGCTTTTGATAGGGCGGCTTATCACGTGTGTGAGACATCTCAAAGCGTATCACAGAATATACTGTAAACTGTTAACTGAATTGACTTGATATTTGTGGTTGAAACATTTGTGCTCTTTCCAAGATCTCGGGCAATACAGTGTGAAATAAACAGGAAGTGCTTGCTTTGAAATTGACTGGAAAGTTCGAATGTTTTGGAAGGCTGAATTTGAAAGGGGGAAATGCTGCTTTGCCAGGTCAATTTATTTGTTTATTTAGGTCTGTCGTTTAGTCTTGGCCTGTAGGTTTGAGCCTGTCTTGTGTTTTTGTGTCTGTGCTGTGTTATCTGGGACTGTCCTGTGTAATGTGTAGCTTTCAAGCGTTCTGCGACCCCAGCCTTCGCGAGGGGCATGATATAAATGCAAATTGTTGTTGTTGTCCTGGGCTATTGGGTTGACTCCAGTCCTGTGTTTTGAGGTCTATGCTGCTATTTTGACTACAAATACACAGTCACTACACTTTACAGTAAACTAGGCATCTAATTTGCATACAGCATATTCCAACAATCAGCCAGGAGGAGAATCAGCAAATTATCTGGAGGATTTTCAGCCAGGACACCAGGAGAAACTCCCTTCTGTGCTTTACAGCTTGTTTGAGACGTCTCAGTGATTTCACAATCAGGCTATATTAAATTGAAAGAGAATTATTATTATTATTATTTGGGTGAGTGCTGTGTTATTGGGTTGACTGTGTATGTTGACTTTGCTATCCTTTTTTTTGCCTAGGCGGGGGTGTCTGACCCATGTGGAAACCCATCACCGTGTTTAAGTGTATCCAAACCAAGCTGAGATTTCTACGGAAATTCTGTATTATCGATCACCTCCAGTTGAAAAGATTTCCACAGCGCCGCCCGGTGGTTTAGCTTCACTTTCACTCACTGTTCCTCAGAAAGCTGAAATTTCATTTAATCTTGGCATATAGTACAGTTTTATCTTAATAATGTCCTTGTGTATTATATAGTGCCTCATCACATCAAAACATCTCAATGTGTAAAGTGCAGACGAACACAGCAGCCAATTTGCGTACAACAAGTCCCAAAATCAGCAAGGAGATGACTGAGCAAATTATCTGGGATTGTCGGCCAGGACATCAGAAGAGACTCCCTTTTCTTTTCAAATAGCGTCATGATATCTTTAACGTTTACCTGAAAAGGCACAGACTGGACCTTCGTTTAATGTCTCATCCAAAGGACGGCACCTCCGACAACATAGCACAGCCTCAACACCTCAGCCTAGAACTTGGGTTTAAAGTCCTGACGTGGGGCTTGAACCCGCAGCCTTCTGACATAGAAGCAAGAGTGCTACCGAATGAGCCAGTGACACCTTATTACACAAGGTGCATACTAGATGTGTTGCCATAATAATCAGCCAATTAGTCCTATTTTTCCACCCACCTTCCCCTATCCCACATGGGTTCATTCTCAGCAAAAGATGTTCGCCTTTACCTAAGTACCTCAGTGAGTTAGTGATCTCACATCTGAGCTGTGGGGTTAAATCTAACTCTGAATTGATGAGATTGCAGTCTCTCTCTCTCTCTATATATATATATCTGATGATTGGGCCATGCTGTGTGATGGGGACGGTCATTGAAAGGAAAGTTAATAAATAATAATAATTCTTGCATTTGATATAACGTCTCAGCATGTCGAGTATATTCACAGAATATACAGTAAAGTGAATTGACCTCATATTTTGTAGGTGAAATGTGGCAGGCAATTGCGCACAGCAGTATCCCACAAACAGTCGAGGGTTGAATGATCAAATTATTTTGATTTATTTATTAAGTGGAGAGATTATTACCCCTGGAAAGTGATCTACCAATTGACTAACACACCAGGTTCCTAATTACGGCTAGGTAAGCAGAAGCGTGTGTTGTAAGGAAACTTGACTAAGGTTTTGCCCTGACGCGAATCAAACTCAGCTCCTCTCGCTTGCGAGGTGAGTGCTCTAACCAATTATACTATAGGACTCTTGTTAAGGAGATGAAAAGGTTAAGGAGATGAAAAGGTTAAGTTAAGGAGGTGGATGTCCATTGATGTGCTCTGTACTGTGCTGTCCTACACTTCACGCATTGAGTGGTGCAGTCCTCTCTGTGTGTGTGCACATGGGCAAACACTCTATGTGATTGAGGATCAAAACAGTGCAAGGGAAAGCCAGAGCTTTCCATTAATTTCCCCATTGGAATTACGTCTCTTGTAGTTACAAGCTCCGAGAAGTTATCCTGCTCTATAAGTACAAGTTGTTGTGTTTTTTACTTGGCCCGTCTCTGAGGACGTGACTCATATTATTAATAATAATAATCCTTGCATTAGGTCTTCGAGACATCTCAAAGCGCTTGAATTGACTGTTATTTTATGGGCATAACACGGCAGTCAATTTAGACACTTAACATCTGGTTACTAACTCCATGGCTGTATGGAGTCCTGTAGCGAAATTGGTTAGAGCATTCGCCTCACAATGAGAGGACCTGGGTTTGATTCTCGGGTGGGGTGAAACTTAGGCAAGTTTCTTTACTCCACATGCCTCTGTTTACCTAGCAATAAATAGGAACTTAGATGTTAGTCAATTGATGGATCGCTTTCCTGGGGTAATAATCCCTTAAATATAATAATAATAATAATAATTTGGTCACTCAGTTCACGACTGTTTGTGAGATACTGCTGTGTGCAACTGGCTGCCATGTTTTGCCCACAAAATATATGGTAATTCCCTTTACATATTCTGTGAAGTGCTTTGAGATGTTTCAACGACGTGGTAAGGTGCTTTATCAAATGCAAGGATTATTATTATTATCTGCCACATTCGTCCATAACTGCGCAGACATAACACTTTACAGTAAAATACTATGTAGCGTTTCAAGATGTCTCAACAAGGTGATGAGGCACTTTAATGAATGCAAGGATTATTTATTCAGCTATCACTGAAACAATA